CCAATCGGCGCTACCAACGATTGCCCAAGCTTCACGGTTCTCGATATGTTAAGCTATTTTTTTTCCATCCACAGTAATATTCACGAGTGTGTACGCATGTGGTAGCAAACCGGAGCACCCGGAGAAGTGAAACAAAAATCGCTCGCGCTTGCGAGAGGGCAAGGAGCTATTGCGTACAGATGGAACATCTTGTGAGTGAAACATTGGCCGTAGCGCATTCTCGTGGCAAGCAGGGTGATGTTGACCGGCTTGGAAATGTTCAAGAGGTCTGCGTGAACGTTGCGAATTATCCCGAAACGGCCTGACGCGAACGTATTCGAGTGTCCGCTCAACGTATTCCATCTTCTCTTCATCAACGTCCTCGGCTTTACCTCATCGCCTAATCATTGGGGAGGTCGTAACGAAACAGGTGGACTTCTCCACAAATCTGGCTGTGTCGCCTGATGAAGCTAGTTCTAATTACTGGCGAAACGTCGTACTCAGATTGCAAATGTTGTGGCTTGGCTCTCCAACACACCGGTGGTGCTGCGCTAGTGACGAATTGGCCACGTTCTATTTACGTGACAACCCTTACTAGTTGGCTGTGTCGGGTGGTGGCGGGTTTAACAACACATTGATATTTACGTGATCTAACCCAAAAAAAACCTCTATTATGGAAAAAAAGCGTTTTGGAGATTCGGAAGTGAACGTCACACAACGCATCGTGTGCACGCGTGCGACCGGATGCAAATGTGAGTCGGTGCACGCCGCACGCGCCCGATGTTTGTTAAACACGTCCAAGTAATAGAGATTATCTGGCGTGTACGCACGCACGTGCGTGTGTGTGTGTGTGTCTACGTGGGTGTCTTAATTGTGGGGAGCGGTAGTGTAGCGGTTAGCGCGCTGTGCTATGAACCCGGTGACCCGAGTTTGATTCCCGCTCACGGCCAACACCAGTGACGATTATCTGAACCGGTCCTGGGCCTCCCCTAGGTCGACTCAGCCTCAAATGAGTACCTGGTGCGGTGTGTAAACATTGCCACTATGGAGACAAAGGCGGTCGGGCGTGGTGCTGGCCACCCACCCCCTCGTGTGCCGTGCCGGCCTTCATAGGTGCTCGCGAACAGCACTTGCTCCTACAGTCTGTTAAGACTATATGGGGGATCTTTGTCTTAATTGTAATCGGTACCGCCGTTTTCCATCCTCAATGCTTTATATATATTTAGATGTAGATAGTAAAGGCATAGACAAATATCCCCCGTATAGCATTAATGGTCTGTTGGGCCAAGTGCTCTTTGCAGGTATCTGTTCAGGCCGGAACGGCACACGCGGGGGGGTGTGTGACCAGCACCACGCCCAGCCGCATTTGTCTTCCTTCGTGGCGATGTTAACTTATCGCACTCGGTACTCATTTGAGGCCGAGTCGACCTAGGGGAGGCCCAGGTATCCGGTTCAGATATTACTCATCACTGACGTCAGCCGTCGTGGACGTGAATCGACCCTCGGGGGTCGCTGCGTTCGTCGCTGCCGCTCGCCACACACCGTGTTAGCGAGCGCCGTCAAGTGTCTTGAGCGCGAGTGTGCTAACCACCGGGCCACCGCTCCGTCCATCATTTGTTAACGTAAAAAAAAACTCTAAAACTATTTTTACGTTACCAGGTAACGCCCACTCAGCTATATCGCTCTTTTCAGAAGCGACCTGGCCACGAGTGAAAGCTCAACGAAGTGGCTTATCGCGTGGAACAGTAGAGCAGCCGCATCACTCTAAACGCGCGTGGTCGATTCTAAATGTGGAGGGGAAAGTCGGAGAGACCCAGTGAGGAATCCACGCGACCACCGGGAGAGAGGCACCGCAAACTCGGGATCGAACCCACGACCTCCTGTACACCAGGCGAGAGAGCGAGTTGACATCTCCTCGCCACCGTTAAAGCTCACATCATCTTAATTCAACAACAATAAAACAGTGGGGTGGGGGGGGGGGTGGAGAAGGGGGCGGCGGGGGCGGGGGGGGTTACCAATCGTACGCTGCTTTATTGTTGTAACACAACACACGGTGGTGGGGACACGGTTTTAACTCACGCGAGAAAATCAACTTTAGCGGGCCAAACAAGAGAATCGTCGTGAATGCCTGCGTCTGTGTGTAGACGAGCAGTCCTCGCGGTGTCTTCATGGACAGACACTGCTAACAGACGGACCGGGCGGCTTCTTCCTGCGTCTTACCCCCGCCACCAACACCGATTCGTCTTGAGTTCAACTCGACGTCAAACGCTCATCGCGAACGACAACCTGTCCACGTGCTGCGGTGACGTCACAACAGATCCCCTACCGCCCCGCAGCCAATCGCATCGGCAGGTTTAACACGGCAATTGTGCGTCGTGGCTGTTGTTGTTGTTGTGGTTGCTGTTGTGGTTGCTGTTGTTGCTGCTGATGTGCAGCGTGGATGAATAAAGAGTTGAACGCCGTTATGGTACCCTGCTGATGGAACACGCACGAGTCGAAGCCGGTCCATGGGGTTTGCTTGGTTAATCAAATGCAGTTTCGGTGAAATCACGGCAGTGTGGGTAGCCAAGCGTGGAGACACACAAGGGCGGAGTTTGCTTTTGTCACTTACGTCAGATCCAATTTTTCATTTAACATAGAAGGGTAGGGAATGCGTGTCTCCATTGTGTCAATATGCGTGTCGTTTATGTGTGGATTACGTTGTGCGTGTCAGTGTGTATGTGTGGTGCTGCGTATGGGGAGCGGCCAACAACAGTGACGATGATCTGAACCGGTCCTGGGCCTCCCCTAGGTCGACTCAGCCTCAAATGAGTACCTGGTGAGGTGTGTAAACATCGTCACTGGGGAGACAAAGGCGGCCAAGCGTGTTGCTGGCCACGCACCCCCTTGTATGTCGTGCCGGCCTTCATAGCTGCTCGCTAACGGCACTTGCCCCAACAGTCTGTTAAGGCTACACGGGGGATCTTTGTCTTTGCGTGTGTGAGCGTGTATGCACGTGCGTGTGTTGTATGTGCCGTGGTATGTATCTGTAAGTGTGCGCGCGCGTGTGTGTTCTGGTGTGTGTATCTTATGCTTCTGTGTGTATAGTGCCACCCATCTCCTTCATGGATGCTCGTTAACAGCACTTGCCCGAACAGTTTGTTAAGGTTATACGGGTGATCTTTGTCTTTGTATGTATGTGCGCATGTTTGTGTAGTTGTGTGTTGTTGTGTGTGTGTGTATGTGAATAGTGGGAGTGCAGAGAACCCGGCGACCCATTCACGGCCGCCAACACCAGTCACGATTATCTGAACCAGTTCTGGGCCTCTCCTAGGTCGACTCAGCCTGAAATGAGTACCTGGTGCGATGTGTGAAATCATCGCCGCGTGGTGATGACCACCCACCCCCTCGTGCGCCACGGTGCCGGCCTTCATAAGATGTTCGCGAACAGCACTTGCCCCAACAGTCTGTCAAATGCTATACGGGAGATCTTTGTCTTTGTGTGTATGTATATTTGCATGTATGCGTGCGTGCGCCCGTGTATGTGTGAATACATGTATACAGTATAACACAAGAATTACGAATGTATATAATTTGACGTCACAATTATTCGTGTATTTCTAAGTGGGCATTTTAGTACGCAGTTGTACGCATACGTGTGTAACAGGTGTATTTGTATGTGTACGTGCGTGTATGTGCCACTGGGAATACAAAGACGGCCGGGCGTGGTGTTGACCACCCACCACCTCGTGTGACTTTCAGTCTTGCTTGCTTACAGCACTTGCCCCAGCAGGGAATATTCGCCTTTGTGTATATATACACATTTATAATTGTGTATATGTGTACGCATGTGTGTTGACGGACTCGTATACGCATGTAAACATATGCACGTATTCTTTATGTGTGATTCTGTTACAAGCCGAAGTGCGCATCTGATATAATGCATACGGAGGTCTTCCAGATTAAACAGAACTCAACTATAATCATAGCAATTGGTTTATAAAAGAAGAAAAGATAAACAATTATTGTAACAGCTTTTGTAGAGTAGTCATACTGAATATATATTAAAAACGAACCGGGTTGCATGCAGGACGCCTCTGATAAATTCCAAATTAATTCATTCATCCAGTTAGTCATTCACGTCTCGAGAGGCCGTCGCTCGCATCAATCTTCGGTTGCTTTCGTTCACGAACGACTCAAAAGTTATTTCATGGACACAAACACTAATAGAGTCTATAGGGCGGAACATACACCACATAGCCATATATATACTCTCATACACGATGTAAGGTCCTGACACATTACAATTATAACGTAGTTCTACTGTCCATTCTACTCAACGAATCGTATTGTCATCTTCCTCTTCCGTTGTCTACATTAATCGAGTCTCCTTCTTCTCCCGTAGTCGCATTGTTTGCTATAAACAATTGTAGTTGAATATCAACAGCCGTCATAGGTGCGTGCGTGTGTGTGCTGTGTAAATGATGAAACGTGACTGCCAGAAAGCATAATCATGCTCGCTTCAGATGAGTAAGTGGACACCGTGTTTCCGAGGATCCAGGTCAGAACACCGAGGGAGACGGAGCGAGATCTTGGCGAGGCTCTCATCTTCTGCACGCAATCACTTCCGGTTTCGCAAGCTTCAATTTATACACAACCCTTGGCCAGAGAGAGATTACACAGCCATCACCCCATTATCTCTATATATACTGTACGTAAGAGCAAGAGAGTCCGTTTTTTCTATTATATTTAACTTTCCTATAGCTGTTTGCTCTTTCGATTATGCAGTAGGTTGTTGTTGTTTTTTTAAACAATTATAAGTATAATTACATATATATGTGCCCCCCGGCTCCTCCCACCCGCCCATACGTCCATTCCTCTGCGCAGGGTATAATTCGAGTCGGGTCAGTCCGAGCTTCGCAACCAAAAAAAAGAACCCAATCCGTGCCCGGCATACCACATCCAGTATAGCTTTCGCTATGTGGGCCCGTGGCTCCCAAGTCCACCGCATTCCCGCCCACCCATCCCATGACTGCGTCCTCTTTCATCATCTTCTTCTTCCCACCACCACCCCCCTTTTCTCACGGCCTCAGATGTCGGGCTCGCTGGAGTCGCTGTCCGCCCTCGACGCCGCCGAGGGCAGAGCCTCGTCCCTCTCGCTGAGACCCGACAGGCTGGCACGGGGACTCGGTCGCGGGCTCACGGCCGAGCCGCCGCCGACGCCGCCGCCGCCTCCACCCCGGGGACCCCAACTCGGCGGGGGGCTTCGCTCGCCGGGTGACTCGGCCCGCTCGGGCAGGAAGCGCGCCACGCTGTGGGTCACCGTCTGCTGCTGTAACCTGCGAACGAAGGGGGGGGGGAGGGACAGGGCAGGGGGGTAACGCAAGCGAGAGCGGATGATTAAGAACGCGGCTTAAAAAAAAGGTTTCGCAGCTCGTTAAAACGGCGCTTGTCCCCTCCCCTCCCCCCCAATGTATTTGTGTTGGCAAGGTTCGGCTCGGCCACGTACCGCACAAATAAATAAAATAAAAAAATCCCTTCGCTGATTTCGGCACGGAGCCGGCCAGGGCTCGCAAGAGCAGCAGCAGCAGCGGCGGCGGCGACGGCTTTTGGTTGCCCATCGGACAAAGGCGGCGGTCACCGCACCATCGCAAGCGCTCAGATGCGCTTGTGCGGCCGTCTGGGACGCTCTTCCTTCCGATATTAGGAAGCCGCTGGATCCATGGCACTTTACAATCCAGATTGAAAACTCACATCTTGAGAAATGCTTTTTGTATTTAGTTTTGTTGTCCTTCCGCTCCTCCGATTAGCACGGTTGGCTACGTACGGTGCGAAAGAAGTTCAACGTACGTGCCTACAAGGTGTGCGTCTACACGGGGGAATCTCTGTGTTTGTGTGTTTTGTAGGTGTATGTAAATGTTGCTTCGTGACTGCACTTGCCCCACCAGTCTGTTAATGCTATACGGGTGTCCATTGTCTCTGTATAGTTAAGTGGGGAGCGGCAGTCTATAGCCGTTAGCACAGCGCGTTACAAACCCGATGACCCGCGTTCGTGTGTGTGTGTATGTGTGTGAATGTGTGTATGTGTGTGTGTGCGCGTTCGTGTGTGTGTGCGCGCGTTCGTGTGTGTGTGTGCGCGTTCGTGTGTGTGTGCGTTCGTGTGTGTGTGTATGTGTGTGTGCGCGTTCGTGTGTGTGTGTATGCGTGTGTGTGTGTGTGCGCGTTAATGTGTGTGTGTGCGCGTTCGTGTGTGTGTGCGCGTTCGTGTGTGTGTGTGCGCGTTCGTGTGTGTGTGTGCGCGTTCGTGTGTGTGTGTGCGCGTTCGTGTGTGTGTGTGCGCGCGTTCGTGTGTGTGTGTGCGCGTTCGTGTGTGTGTGCGTGTGTATGTGTGTACGCGTTCGTGTGTGTGTATGTGTGTGCGCGTTCTCGTGTATGTGTGTGTATGTGTGTGTGTATGTGTGTGTATGTGTGTGTATGTGTGTATGTGTGTGTATGTGTGTGTATGTGTGTGTTTGTGCATGTGTGTGTATGTGTGTATGTGTGTGCGCGTTCTGATTTTCGTCCATGGCCAACGTCGGTGGCTAATATTTGAACTGGTCCCTATGCCTCCTCTCGATCAACTCGGCCTTAAATGAGTACCTTGTGCCGGTGTGTAAACATAGAACTGTTAAGTCCTTCATCCAGCAGTGGCGTGAGCATGACTGATGAGGATGATGACGGTGAGTTAGACAAAGACGGCCGGGCCTGCGTAGTGCTGGCCACCCCCCCCCCTCTCGTGTGCCGTGCCGGCCTTCATAGGCGCTACTCGCGAACAACACTTGCTCCAACAGTCTGCTGAAGGCTATACGGGGGACCTTTGTATTGTTGTCTTTGCAGGGAAGAGTGCAGAGATTGACCACAGCGGCAACTCGCCACTCGCGAACGTCAACGTGCCCACGAGGAGCTCTCATAATCATCGTCATAATAGAGAACACAAAGATAAAGGTTCAGCCCTGCAGTTTCTCTGCAGTCGCCACTGCTGACCGTAGGGACTCCACTCAAGGGAGGGTTTGGAGAAGCCGTATTGAAGCTATCTCGTTTGCCTACTCTTCCACGCTGCACGGCAGGTCGTCTTGCGTACAGGTGAGAGAAAATCCACGATTCACCCCATCGCGCGCAACGGAGCGATCTCCTGGCGCGCTCCGCTCATACGTCTTGGTGGGCAACTGCTGCTCCAGGAAATCGAACCGGCGACACGTAAGCGTTGCAATTCGAGCGTTCTAACATTCACACGACAGCAGCAGCAGCAAACAGCACCACCACCATCATCGTCGACATCGCCACCAACACAGGTGTAAGCCACGTGCGTGCAGGCGTGCGGTGACTATAACAACAATAATAGTTTACTTGTTTATCCGGGAGAGTCGCGTGACGCTTTTTCAAGAGGGTCCTTCTGCTGCATTGGGGTTTGTTTTTTATGTGAAAATGTTTTCATTCAGTTAATGACGAGTGAAGCGTATCATTGTTATGGTAAACGTGGAGAGGAAACAGGAGCACCCGGAGAAAACCCACGCCTTGCGCGAGGGGGGCAACACTGTATCCCCGTACAGATGGGAACAGATGGAGATTAGTCCACGTGTGCCGTAGCGCCTTCTCCTGGCGAGCCAGGGGTATGGCACCCTCTCCTCCTCCTCGGCCCCCACGCCAAGGGAGATTCACAGCAGCATTTGTGCGTGCAATCCACCGACCCTCGCCTCGGCAGTTGCTGGAGCAAAACCTAACAACAACAACAAAAAATCCCACCAAACTATATTTATTTTGCCAGTTAAGGCTCACTGAGCTCCGTAGCTCGTTTTCAGAAGCGACCTGGCCACAAATGACAGCTCAGCGAAGTGGCTCATCGCGTGGCAATTTCTAACAGCCAGATACTCTAAACGCGTCGTTTCGAAATGTGGAGGGCAAAAACTGAAGGAACCGGAGCAAATCCACGCGACCGCGGGGAGAGAAAGAAACACGCAAACTCCAAATATACAGCAGGCGTCAGGGTCGGGATCGAACCCAAGACCTCCTGTATACCAGGTGAAGGAATTAACATCTCCTAGCCACCATGATGATAATGAGAGAGAGACACGCAAACTCCAAATATACAGCAGGCGTCAGGGTCGGGATAGAACCCACGACCTCCTGTATACCAGGCAAAGTAATTAACATCTTCTAGCCACCGTGTCCACGGACCTCGCCACCACGACACAACGTGTAGGTGCAATAAATGCCCGTCTTGGGAAACTCCACATTTACACAACCTGATATCATCATCACCATCAGCCATGCTCAATCAACTACTGGATGAAGATGGTTCCCCTCCTGTCCACCACCCGAGCCGTCGCCACCTCTCGCGGCCCGCGATTCAACAACAACAACATCAGCAGTGGTCGTAATTCGCCACTTCAAGTGACGGCGACATCGCTGAGGCGCGCTCGCTGTTGAGGTCATCTCAAGTGTCAGCGACCGAGATGGGTGGCCGATTTGCAGCACCTGCGCAGGTGGCGATGAGAACACTCCACGTAGCAGCAGCAGCAGCAGCTTGCACGAGCGTGCGAGCGAGCGAGCGGGGTTTCATCGCCACCGCGCAACTCCGCGTGGTCGCGAAGTCCGCTCTGGCGCGTTCAGCTTCCTTTTGGCTGCCGCCACCAACTCCTGCGTGTTCATCTCGAGCACGTGGCCGTCGTCCCGAGGAAGCGACGCGTCCTGCCCAAGTCCGCTTCGCTTTTCTCAACGGGCAAAAAAAAATGAAACGAGGGTGACTCTGACGACGACGATTCATCGCTGGGGGTTCAGGGGTGGTGAGGAGAGAGGTGTTGTGCAGTGGTCAGCCCTCCGCGCTACGAGCCGGGGCCACTTGAGTTGGAAACTCGGCCGCGGATTATGTCGGTGGCGAGAGAAATCTGACCCGGTCTTGGGTGGCCCCTCTCGACTAACGCGAGTTGACTAGAATGGTGAAGTATGGTCCAACAACCCTCGCGACTCACACAGCTTGGATAAGATGTTATTATCCAGCAGTGGAACGACAAACGGTTATTTGACGTCATACATAATATATTATAATTGTATTTGTAATTTAGTCGCGATAAAACTGATACTATTACCAATTTACAGCTAACAATATGTATGATAATATTACATTTTATATATATAGAGAGAGAGAGAATATGAGGGCCAGGAGCAAAGCGTTGAGTACGGACTTGGACAGGCGGCAGGGAGCCGACAGCACGGATGCCATCGGGAGTTCCTGACCTCAAGGGGGCAGATTGACACCCCCTGCACGGCATGTTCTGTACGTGATAAGTAACAATTGCAGCCTGCTGCCACAGCATGCGTGCATAAGACATTTACTACGATAATGAGCCAAGAATGTCTGTGTGTCCCGCGCGTGACATCACTCCACGTCGGCCAGCGCCCCTCATTAATACTCATGAGCAGGTGACGTCCTCCACATGGACCTCCCCCCCCTCATTAATAATCATGAGCAGGTGACGCCACTCCACATGGACCTCCCCCCCCCCTCATTAATAATCATGAGCAGGTGACGTCCTCCACATGGACCTCCCCCCCCCCCTCATTAATAATCATGAGCGGGTGACGTCACTCCACCTGTAGCACCCCCCCCCTCATTAATAATCATGAGCGGGTGACGTCACTCCACATCGAACAGCCCCCCACATTAATCAATCATGAACAGGTGACGTCTTCCAAATAGACACCCCCCCCCCCAGCCATTAATATTAATTAGCGGCTGACGTCACTCCACATGGGGGGGGGGGGGCGAGGCGCCTCCTCCCCCCTCCTCCCCCCTCCTCGGCGTCAACTCACAACCCTCACTACAAAGGCAGAACCCTCACGTCACGTGATCTCCGTCACGCTGTTGAGACATCGGAGTAAAAAGGACGTCGTGATGAACAAGGGATTATAACCTTTACATGAAATATGTCTGTGTCACCTAGCCCTTACAAATTGCACACGAATTGATGCAATGAATATATCACGTCGCGGTCTGCTTTTCGCTTGAAAGTTTAAGATTTACTGCAATACACCCGTCCTTAGACGGGCAAAAGGCTCGTGTGTATATATCATGTCACGTGCATTGGCTGCAAGTCAACGGAGGCACCACTGGCTTCAGTAGTCGCGATTAAAGCACCCATCCCGCTTCCCACGCAGTGTCCACACACACTCGCAGTCTTGATACAATGGACGTGCGAAGTGTGTAGAACTTCGTTTGCACCGTACGTAGTCAACCGTGCTAATCGGAGGTGCGGGGAGCACGCATGTGAAGGCAGGCACATGCTCATTTCATACAACACAT